TCAGGGTGGTGGGACAGTTAAAGGGCTACATGAACTTGGAAGAGGAAGGTGACTTCCAGCAGAGCCCTAGGCCCGGCATTTTTTCTGCATGTCAGGTCATCAGACGGAGCAGTCTAGAACCACAGAGGGCTCAGGGATCATCTTGTCCATCCCTGCTCCCTGTTTGTGGAACAGGAAACTGAGGCACGGGGGAAAGAGGTGCCCACTGCGTAGTGATGAGCTGGAAGCAGCGCCCCGGCCCAGCCCAGGGCTCCCTCCACCCCATGTCTGGCCAGCCTCAAAGGCCGCGTCCACACTGCCCACCCTACCTGGGCCTCTCCCACCACCACGGGGCCTTGCCCTCATCTTCCGGTTGATCTCTGACCCAAGATGCTCTGGGTGATTGGAGGAGGGTTCAGGCGGCGCCCTGAGCCCCTCCCCAGCGCCCCTCTATTTCTCTCCCCCAGCGCTTGGCCGGGGCGACCCTCCTCATCTTTGCCAACAAGCAAGACCTGCCCGGAGCGCTGTCCTCTAACGCCATCCGCGAGGTGAGTCCAGGCCTCGGCGCGGGCTCACGGAGGAAGTGGGGCACACGTCTCTTGGTTAATTTACTTAAAAAGCATTTGTTAGCCCCTGCTGTGTGGCAGGACCTGTGCCGGGCTCTGGCGATTTGGTGATTAATAAGACTCAGTGGTGCCTCACAACCAGGGGGGAGGCAGCCTTGCAAATAGATTTTTCTAGAGGATCACAGTAACCACGGGAGTGAGTGCTTTCTGCGTGCTAGGCTCTTTGCGTGGATCAGCTCATTCAAGTCTCACAACAGCCTCATGAGGCAGGAACTGTTGTCATTCTATAGGTGGTAAAGCAGGCTTAAGAGGTTGGGTAACTTGCCCAAAGTCACACAGCCAGTAAGTGGACAAGCCAGGATTTAAATACTATCTGACCCCAGAGGCTGTGTCTTAACTGTTACTCCAGAGCTTGAGCACCAGAATGAGAAAGAGTGGGGTTGTAATCTTGGTTCTGACACCTACTAGCTGTGTGACCTTAGGCAGGTTGCTTAACCTCTCTGAGCTTTGGTTTCCTCCTTGGTAAAACAGCCAATACAATCCCTGGCTCATGGGGTCTTGGGTGGAATGGATGAGGGGATGTTTGTGGGATCTATAGCACAATGCCTTGGTCCTAGCAGACACCCGGAAGCCCGTGTTGCTGTTCCATTCTAAGGGGTGGTGCTGGCATGGCAGTGTACAGAGAGCCCAGGTGCATCTGGGGGCTGACAAGTCTTCACCAGGGGCCAGGGGAGGCTTCCTAGAGCAGGACCTTGAGGGAGACATGGATTTCCCCTGGGCCAGGATAGGGAAGGGGCTGCCAGCAGGCAGGACCTGTGGTCCCCGGGCCCCACCAGCACCTCCCACTCTCCCAGGCCCTGGAGCTGGACTCCATCCGCAGCCACCACTGGTGCATCCAGGGCTGCAGCGCCGTCACCGGGGAGAACCTGCTGTCCGGCATCGACTGGCTCCTGGATGACATCTCCAGCCGCATCTTCACGGCCGACTGAGTGGCTCCAGCTGCCCCCCCACCTCGCAGTCCAAGCCCCCCCGCCACCAGGCCCTCAGCAAGCACCATCCATGGCGGGTGGGAGTCCACCAGCCCGACTAACCTTCCCCGTCCTCCTCGAACCTGCTACTGCTGCCACTGCTGCCCACGGCCAGCTGGCTCCCGTGGCGGGAGGCTGCCACCCCGGCTGTCACCCTGCCCCTGCCCCGGCTCACCTGCAGCCACTATACCCAGAGGAGAGGGCTGGGGCCGGGAGGGGGCTGCCTCTGCTGCTCTCGAGGCTGTGGGCCTCGTCCTTTGCTCAGCTGTGAGAATAAACCATTCTTTGCCCCACTTCCTGGCTAAGTTGTTCGTTGATTCAATAGCCTTAGAGACTGCCTGGAACCCTCCGGCCAGCAGGGCACAGTCAGAGGGTCAACTGCTGCTGTGTCAAGGGGACATGCAAAGAATTATGGACGCACAGGACAGCGCGGCAGCTGATTCCACTTGGAAGAGTCCAGGTGGGCTTCCCAGAGGAGGTGACATTTAAGCTGGGAGCAAAGGATGAGTAGAACTTTTCTAGGTAGAGGGAGCGGGAGACAGTTTATTAGAGCGACTGCTGCCCTCATGGGTGTGAATTAGAAAAAGGCACACGGCCCTACCTGGGGCTTATGGCTTGTTGAATGAGACCTGGGCTGAATTTCAGCTCTCAACTTCTGGCTGTAGCCAGGAACCCACATGCATGTGGACAACCTGCACAGCTGTACGAGGCAGCATTGGCTCAAGCTGAAGAGCAAGGGCTCCTGGGAAATGGGGAGGGCTGAGGACTCAGGTGTAGGAGGATGTGAGCATCAAGCAGGGCTGGCTCACGGCGGGGGTCGCAGGGTGGGGCGCACAATGTGACTTGCTCAAAGCCACCCAGCTAGGAAGTAGGGGAGCTGGGATTCGGACCCAGCACGCTCAGCCACTACACTCTGCTAACTAGTTCCAGTTTTTGTCTCTGCTCGAGATTCAGCGCCAGCAAGAGGCGGCCTGCTGTGTCTACTGAGGAAAGGGCGGTTTTCCCAAGGGGAAGGTCAGAAAGAGACAGACATTTACTCCAAACTGGCACCAGCCTCCCTTCCTGGAGGGGTGGAGACCCCTGCAAAATCTGGGCTCTGTTAGGATGGAAGAAGGGAAATGGAGGTTGGGTGGACAATCTTAAAACATAAACTGTTGGGGCCGGCCCGGTGGCACCGCGGTTAAGTTCGCACGTTCCGCTTCGGCGGCCCGGGGATTGCCGGTTTGGATCCCGCGTGCGGACATGGCACCACTTGGCATGCCATGGTGTGGTAGGCGTCCCACATATAAAGTAGAGGAAGATGGGCACGGATGTTAGCTCAGGGCCAGTCTTCCTCAGCAAAAAGAGGAGGATTGGCAGCAGATGTTAGCTCAAGGCTGATCTTCCTCAAAAAAATAAAACATAAACTGTTCTTCAGTGTAGAAAATTAGAACCACCCCTGCTGTCCTCTGCAGGGTGACACTGGTCCCCATGTTCCCAAACCCTGTGGTGAATGATCACACCCAGGCTCCAGAGCCAAACCTTGGCTCTGCCACTCACTGGTTGATGCTGAGCAAGTTGCCTAACCTGTCTTTGCCTCAGTTTCCCCATCAGGGGAAAGATAATGGCAGCTACTTCCTAGGGTTGGGATGAGGACCAAGTGCGTGGGTGTGTTGTGTGTCATAAACACTGTAGAATGTTGGCTATAATTCTCGTTATTTGAACCAGTAGGAGCTCAAGCACATCCAACCAATGTGAGCTCAGCCGTCCGCTGATCCGGGGGAGTCACCCCAGTGTTCAAGTCCTCCTGGGACCCTTAGTAAAGAACACTCTTGATTTGAAAAGCAAATTATGCATGGTTAGAGACAAACAAGAAAATAACAAGGCTGTGCTCATCTCAAAGGCCTGTGGCTGGGAAGGATGGGCTGCGGCAGGAAGTCTGCGTCTCGTGGTCCAGCAGACCTAGTGGGAATGTGGGGAGCAGGCACCCTACAGCTGTGATTTTGCAGCTTTCCCCTCTCCCCTGCCTTCAAAAAAGACTCTTCTGTCTGCTTCTCTTAGTGATGGAACTGGCGGAATTGGAGATCTGGAAAAGGCCAGGGGCTAAATTGATCCAGATAGGAAAGGGCTTGGAGGGGACAGGGAGAAAGAAGGGGCAAAGGGGAGAACTGGGAGCTGCTGGGCCAGGGCGGGGAGGGAAGGAAGGGCGAGGAGGAGACCGGGGCCGCAGCCCTGCCCGGAGAGCTTTGGAGAGCAGGAGCCATGTCCAGAGGGCTCCTTTAGAGACGCCCTGGGGTGTGCCGTGCGAGGGGACGCCACCCCATCCCAGCCTCCTCCCCAACGCCTCTTGGAGGAACTACCTCGTTTCCGAGCTTCCAAGAGTCTGATTTGGAAATCTCCTTTGTGTTTCTTTCTGGAATGTCCACCTTTGGGTTCTGGTAACAAGAGCGGTCATGAGCCATTGAACCCTTCACCCATGTGACTGCATTTAAGCTCCATAACCTGGTGGCAGTGGTATCAGTCAGGCTGCTCGATGGCCCGCCCCAGACACAGATTACAATTGCCTTCAGCAGAAAGGACCTTTCTTGGAAGGATGCTGGGGACTCATGACATTCTCATGGAGGCTGGATGTCCAGGCTTGAGGAGCAGAGTGCTCCAGAGGCTGGGCAGCCAAACCCACAGCCAACACTGTACTCCAGGAACAAGTGGTCCCCTTGCCAGGCACTGTGCCCTCCGTCACTCACTCAGGATTCAGGAGACAGTCTGCCCCCCTCATCTGGGACCTGGGGCAAGGAAAGGAGCTGGCACCTTTGGATTCTGGGGTAGGAGGCTGGAGGGCTACACATACAAGAGAACTCCCTCCAACAAAGATCTGGTGCTACGGAACTAACAGAAGCGGAGGTGAATGCTGGACAGATCAATAAAGGAAAAGAAGAAACATCCCCGGCAGCAGATTCCATTATAAACATCCCCATTCTAGAGATGAGAAACTGAGGCTTGAGTAGTCATGGAAACTCATACAGCTAAGTAAGAAGTCTGACTTCAGAACCTGTGATACCCTCGTGCTCCCCTCACCCTTCCAGAAAACGTGATTTAGCGAATCCTATGGAGGGAGACAGGGAAATAACTTGGCTACGTCTGGCACGTATTGGACACAATAAAAGTTGGGTGGATGAATGAAAGAAGGGAATTGGAAGCAGATGAGAAGTCGTTTGGAGACACGTGATGAGGGTTTACGCTCGGATAGGGTGGGCTTGATCGCTTGGCAGAGATGAGAGATCAAACCTCCCGAATCCTTATTCTTAAATAACCTAGTTTACGCTTTACCAACGACCGAGAACTTTTAGGACGTTCCCTTGGCCGCGCGCCCTGCCGAGAACTGCGCCGTCACTTGCGACCAGCTCCCTGGGCCCCGGGATGAAGGGCGCAGGCCCAGGAGAGGCGGTGGCCGGCGGAGGCGGCCCCGGAGGGGCGGGGGCGACGCCGGAGGAGGCGGAGGCCGGCGGTCGGCTCCGCTGCGGCTCGGTTGCCATGTCCCGCCAGGCCAAGGACGACTTCCTGCGGCACTACACAGTCTCCGATCCCCGCACGCACCCCAAGGGCTACACCGAGTACAAAGTGACCGCGCAGGTGAGGTGGGCCCAGCGGGGACCTTTACCCTTTTAACAAGAGGCGGAGCCGTGTTTTACCTTAAGGCAAGGAGCTGCTGGAAGCGCCCTTCTTAGACGACAGAAATGCATTTCCCCTTTAAGGGGAGGCTGTACCGGGAGCGTTCGTTTACTTCTTTAGCCCTCAAGGGGCGGGGCCATCGGAGGGCGCTGTCCTTTTAAAAGGGCGTGGACGGCCCTTCCTAGACCCGTGGGGTGTGGGTGCCCACGCTCGACCCGTCGCGTCTGGGGTTCAGACTGAATTTCTTTAAGTTAATATGAAAACTGTGACTCAGCCCAAATAGTAGTTCTCCAGTCTGTTGGAGTAAGTTTTGTTTATTGCTTTGTTTGATATTTACATGAAAGACCTTTAAAGAGTTTAGTTATTTTTAATTTTCCAAAAGTTAATGTGTCTTTAACTTGAAATATTCATACAGTTCAAAAGAACTTAAGGAGTAAGTCTCCGCCTTCACAGTCGCAGCAGGGAGTCGATAAGGACTAAAGTTGAAATACGGGACGGTCACAGCGTTATAGGCACATCTGTAGAGACACATTGGAAACCACGAAAACAATCTAAAACAGTAAGAGTATAACAGAAAATCTGCAGAATGATATCTTTGGGGGATGACCTCTCACTGTAAATTTTTTGTCCCTTTAGAGTTTTGAACTGGGCAACTATTAAACCGATGCGTTAGAAACTATTGAGATGAGGCAAAACGTGAAGACGCTTCCAAAGGGATTTAAGTGCAGAATCCTAGATGTTTAAAATGAACTTTCCCCAAATCTTTTATAATATCTTTCCTATGCCTAAAAATACAAATAAAAAGCGTCCCTGAGAAGATGAACTGGAGGGTGGGGAGGGTCTGTAACCTTTTCCTTTAAATCTTCCTTTTGGCTTTTTAACCAAGTAACGTGCATTACTTTCATGTTTTTATAACTTTTAAAGATAAATCATTATTCCTCCCTTACCATCCCCATTCATTGTCTTCATGGGAACCCTTGCTGCTAGTTTCTTATTTATTCTTGCAGATAAACTCATTTAAAAGCAAATATATGCATTCACTTTATTACCATTATTTACACACAGTGGCGTTCTGCAGCTTGCGTTTTTCATTTGCTGGTATTCTTCACTTTTTTTATTGCTTCACTTTTTAAATTTTTTAAACGGAGACATAATATGCATAAAGTAATAGGCACAGATCTTAAGTGTACAGCTCAATAATTTTTAAACATGTATACATCTGTGCAAACACCACTCAGATCGAGATAGAGACCTTTTCATCACCCCAGAAAGCTTCTTTGCACATTTCCAATCAGAGTCCTCCTCCCACAGAGGTAACTGCTATGCTGACTTCTGTCACCATAGATTAATGTGTCTGTTCTTGAGCCTCATACGAATGGAATTGCACAGCAAGTACTGTTTTTCACTCTGCTTAGTGTTTTTGGAATTCATCTGTGTTGTGGGATGTGTAAGTAGTTTGTTCCTTTTGATTGCTTGTAATAGTAGTCCATTGTGTGAATATACCACTATTTGTTTATTCATTCTCCTGTTGTTGGACATTTGGGTTGTTTCTAAAAAATTTTTTAGTTGTTTTGAGTAAAGTCGTATGAACATTTGTGCACAAGTCTTTTTACGGAAATATGCCCTTTTTCTCCTTGATATATGCCTAGGAGTGGAATTGCTCAGTCATTTGATGGGCAGATGTATAGCTTTCCTAGAAAGTGCCAGTTTCCCAAAGTGGTTGTACCGTTTTAGACTCCTGTTCTCACCAGCACGTGATAACATCAGCATCTTGATTGTAGCCATTCTTGGTGGGTATGTAGTGTCTCACTGAAGTATTAATTTTCATTTCTCTGATGACTAATGGTGCTGAGCATATGTCATAATCTTATTGGCCATTCAAACATCTTCGTTTGTGAGAGGCACCTGTTCAAGTACTTTGCCCGTTTTTTAAAGTTGGGTTGTTGGTCTTTTTAATATTGATTTGTGGGAGTTCCTTATATATGCTCTGGATATGAGTCCTTTGTCAGGTATACCTTCCTCAGTGGTTTTTAATCATAGTTTCTTTTACTCAAAATATTTTAGGCAAATCTGTTGTGAAAAGCAAAGGCCAGGGTGTCAGGCCCATCAGTCCCTCTTACTGGGTGTGTGACCTGGCACAGTCACGGCCTCCCCTCTGGGCCTCCATTTCCTCATCTTTGAAATGGGCACGTTAATCATGTCTGCCTCGCTGCGATCTAGGAAAACGAACAGGAGCTGTTGAGAACTGTCAGATATTCCAAGCTGTAGGATGTTATTTTTCAATTATCGTGAACCAGTAGTAATGGAAACGAGTCTTCTTTCCACCTCGGACCCGAGTCTGCTCCTCCAGGGGTCACAACCCCATGACGGTTTCTTCGGGGTCTAGGAGTGTTTGAGTGCAGGGGCTTCCTCCATTAAGGAAGGAGGGGCTCCTGGGACGGAACCTCGTTTCTCGAGAGAACTTGGGGTTCTGTGGTTTCAGAAGAAGATGCAGGACTAGGCCCTTTGAAGGAACTGCGATCAAAGTTGGGCTGAGGATGGAGCCGTCTGGCCGGGCCTGTGGGGATCCTCCCATTTGACAGATGAGGAAGCTGAGGTTCATAGTAGAAAAACCGCTCCAAGTTACGCTCAAAGTCTTAAAGCCAGGACACCTTGACGCCAGTGGCCAAAGGGCACTGCCCCTTTGAGAGGGGCTGGGAGGTACCTGGGGCGTCCTCGGATCGTACAGGGTGATGGGGTATCGGATGTCAGTCTCTGGTCTCACCTGGCTTTTGCCTTTTTTCCTCAGTTCATCTCAAAGAGGGACCCGGAGGATGTCAAAGAGGTGAGGCTCCTGGGAGGAAGGGGGACCATTCCCCCATTCCAGATCTGGAAACGTAAAGGAACCACTGGTCACTCTGCGAGGAGACCAGCCCCGCTTCCTCCCTGGCCCTGGGAGGAGGGGACGCTGTGCCCTGTCCACACACACCATGGCCCAGGCTGGGGGTGGGCCGGGTCAAGCGTCCCATCCCTCGTCCCCCATCCCTCATGCCTCGACCGTCGTCCCTCGTAGGTGGTGGTCTGGAAGCGCTACAGCGACTTCCGCAAGCTGCATGGAGACCTGGCCTACACTCACCGCAACCTCTTCCGCCGCCTGGAGGAGTTTCCCGCCTTCCCCCGCGCCCAGGTGTTTGGTGAGTGTTGAGCCAGGCTTTCAGGCCAAAAAGGGAGGGAGAGCTGGCAAAGGGGACCCTGCTGGGGGGCGCTGGATGGAGGGTGCCTGAAGCTCCCAGCAAAGACACGTTTCAGAGAGCCGGAAGGGCCCTTCAAGATGGTCTCACTTTACAGATGGGGAAACTGAGGCTCGGAGCAGCCTCGCCCTTATTGAGCGTGTGGCCCTTTACAGTCCTGTCCTCATTAGCTCCATTTTCAAGATGAGGCAACTGAGGCTCAGGGAGAGGAAGAGGATTGGCCTGTAAGTGGCAGAACCAGAATTCCTGCCCACAAGCCAGTGTTTCCGCTAGACCTGCACTGTCCAAACACAGCAGCCGTGAGCCCCGTGTGGAGCAGCAGAGCTGTGGCGAGTCTGAGCTGTACGAGTGGAATGCACACTGATAAAAGAGTGTCAACTGGCTCAATAATTTTTTTTTTTTGAGGAAGATTAGCCCTGAGCTAACTGCTGCCAATCCTCCTCTTTTTGCTGAGGAAGGCTGGCCCTGAGCTAACATCCGTGCCCATCTTCCTCTGCTTTATACGTGGGACGCCTACCACAGCATGGCTTTTGCCACACGGTGCCATGTCTGCACCCGGGATCCGAACCAGCGAACCCTGGGTCACCAAGAAGCAGAACGTGCGAACTTAACCTCTGCGGCACCGGGTCAGCCCCTCGTATTATATCTCTATTGGACAGGGCAGAGCTGTTACTTGTGTCTAGAGTCACATGACCTGCCTTTTGCTGCAAGATGAAGGGTCGCTGCCGGCAGGTTATGGCAGCAGTTGGGGGTGCAGCAGGCTTTTCCCCTTGGCAGCACGATAACCAGGCCAGAGTTAGAGAACTCTGCATGATACCTAGAAAACAGCAGTGAAACTATAAAAATGGGGCTGCTTGCTGTGTGACCTTGGGCAAGTCACTTCCCCTCTTGGAGCCTCACTTTCCTCCACGTCACATCAAAGTTGTCTGAGATTGTTTGGTTTCTTGTTGGTTGCCTGCCTCCCCTGTCTAGGATGTAATATCCATGAGGGCGGAGACCTTGCTTCTCTCTCATTCACCCTCTGAAGTTAGCACATAGTAGGCGCTCAATAAATGTCTGGTAAATGGGTGAAGAGGGAGATTGGTCCCTCCTTGCGAGCGCCCTCACCCCTGGAGGGGCCAGGGAAGATTGCTGGGAGAATGGGGAGGGGACGGCGGGCTGCTGGGATCCTCTCAGGCAGAACCAGGAAAAGTGGTCACTGCTTCTGTCCCCACCCTTCGTCCTGGGGTGCTGCAGGCCGCTTCGAAGCTTCGGTGATCGAGGAGCGGCGGAAGGGGGCTGAGGACTTGCTTCGCTTCACTGTGCACATTCCTGCGCTCAACAACAGCCCCCAACTCAAGGAGTTCTTCCGGGTATGTGCACCTGCTCGCTCCCCACCCCAGCACCTGGGAAGCCTCCTGCCCACCAGGCTGCACCCTGTCACTCCCCAACGCTGGTCTCTCTCTCCTGCAGGGAGGGGAGGTGACACAGCCCTCCGAGGTGTCCAGGGACCTGCACATCCTGCCACCCCCTCTGATCCCCACACCCCCGCCTGATGAGCCCTGGTTGCCCCAGCCACTCCCTGCGGAGAGGAGGGGCCTGGAGGAGTTGGAGGTGCCAGGTACGTCAGAGAGGGCGAGGGAGCCAGGGCTGGAGGGTCTGGAGGTGGAGGGCACACTCCTTCCTCAGTGATCGTAGTAAAAAGCCTGGGGTGTGTCCCAGCTGGTCTACCACTAACCTGCTAAGGACTCTGTACAGGCCTTGTCCTTTCTCTCGGCCACAGTTTCTTAATCTGTAAAATGGGCACAAACCCCAAAAATGGGCTTATCTGTTCCCCTGATGGCTGCAGGGGTTCAGGGAGAGGGTTGTTCCGTTTTGAAAGCTGGGAACAGATGGGCAGCCGTGACTGTCCCCCATGATCTGTTCCTCAGGGGACCCCCCACCATCCAGCCCTGCCCAGGAGGCCTTGGATCTCCTCTTTGACTGTGGGAGCACCGAGGAGGCATCCAGTTCCCCTGCCCGAGGCCCCCTCACGGAGGCTGAGCTTGCCCTCTTCGACCCCTTCTCTAAGGAAGGTAACAAGCTGGTGCAGAGGTGCGGGGGGCTGGGGCAGGAGCTCCTTAGGGACAAGGAGGCAGGCAGAGCCAGGAGCTAGCCCTGTGGTGCCTGTGTAAGCCCGAGAATGGCACCCCCTGCAGGCAAATGGCAGCGTTGATGAGAACTAGAAGCCGCCGCCCCTCCCCGGGTGCCTCAGCCCTGGCTATGGCTTTGCCAGCTGTACCCTGCTGTACACTGACTAATGATGGACAAAGAGAATGAGCCACTTCCCACGATGGGATCTGCTCCCTGAGAAAGTTCTGGAATGAGCAGGGGTCACACTGCTCTGGGAGGGTTTTAGGTTCCTTCCATTGGAAGCCCAAGACGGGTGTTTCTTGGCTGGCTCAGGGCCCGGCTGCAGATCCTGCAGGCAGGAGAGGACTGTTAGTCAAGGGAGGTGAGGCCTTGGCTCAGAGAGCAGAGGGGAAGCCCCCAGAGCAGCTGCCGGTGTGCGGGGGACCAGAGACAGAAGGGCCCCCATGGAGGGCCAGGTCCTGAGTCCCTGGCTCTGAGATCTAGAGATCTGATGGTCCCAGGCTCTGACACACTGGATCCCTTTGTTCTGAAATCTCTGAGTTTATGCTGTTACAGCAACTGGGCTCTTGAAGTGGCTGATCTCACTTTGGCGTCATCATGAAACAGTTTCATTTTTTATTCCTCAACACTCTTTTTTTTTGGCACCTAGCTAACATCTGTTGCCAATCTGTTTTTTTCTTCTTCTTCTCCCCAAAGCCCCCCAGTACATAGTTGTATATTCTAGTTGTGGGTCCTTCTGGCTCTGCTGTGTGGGACGCCACCTCCACATGGCCTGATGAGTGGTGCCATATCTGTGCCCAGGATCCAAACCAGCGAAACCCTGGGCTGCCGAAGCAGAGCGTGCGAACTTAACCACTCGGCCACGGGGCCAGCTCCCTCAACAGTCTTTTTAAGCCCATTTTGTTGGCTTCCCTTTTTTGCCACTATTCTGCCTTGCCCCAGCTGAGCCCCCTGGGATGCCCAGTGGGCAGCTGCTCGGGCAGGACCCTGTCCTCAGAGGTGACTCCCATGAGACATTCCCTCAGCCCACTGGAAAGCTCTCAAATCCTTGCCCTGTGAATCCATGCTGCTTCCTCTCCTTGCCCTGCTGTTATGGGCAGCTCCAGCGACCCTTTCACCATCAGACTTCTCCAGCAAGGAGCCCGCACTTGGCTCTGTCTTCATCACATACACCAAACTCCTGAACTAGAGCATTCGAGTGTCCCAAGAACTCTTCTGCCTTCTGTTCCATTAGCGACACAGGGAGGGCTGTAGGTCCCGCTGAGAAGTGACATACCATCTTCCCTTCGTGCCTGAGGCCCCTGGTCTCCTCTTGGGGTCACTTGGATGGGGTCGGAGAGATGCCCGCCCTTCCCTCTCCAGGACAGGGGTGTGCTACGGCGCTTCCTGCACTCGCACCTTCCCTTCAAAGTCCTTTCGAAATGCCAAAGACTCACCAGATCTCTAGCCTCCTTGTGTGTAAGCTGCAGAGGGGATGTTTGACCACTTCTTTGCCAGTCCTAGGGGATATAATGAGCCCCTCTCTCTGGAACGTGAGGATGCCTACCACCACTGTCTTCATATGTGAGGCCTCAGCTGAAATTGTAAGACCTCAAAAAAGCCCTGAGAGTCTCTGAATCTGTTATTCCAAGGCTTGGAGCATTTCTACCCTTGGCCTGGTGTCGTTGGTCTAGCATCCTTCAGTAAACTTTGTGGAGGGAACTCTTAGATTTATAGATCAACTGTAGTCAGGAAGAAAGTAGAACAGCAGGGGCTGGCCCCGTGGCCGAGTGGTTAAGTCTGTGCGCTCCGCTGCAGGCGGCCCAGTGTTTCGTTGGTTCGAATCCATGGCACTGCTCATCAAACCACGCTGAGGCAGCGTCCCACATGCTACAACTAGAAGGACCCACAACGAAGAAATACAACTATGTACTGGGGGGCTTTGGGGAGAAAAAGGAAAAAAAAAAAAAAAAAAAAAAAAAAAGAAAGTAGAACAGTGACCCAGAGCTTGCAAACTACTGGCAAAGTGTCCCTAAAGAAAGAATTAGGAAGATAAGGCTGTTTTTACAAAAGCACATGAACTCCAGCGATCAAGTAGATCATGGCTAATTTGCTCTGCACAAGTGGCTTCTGGATTGCTCGGGCACTGCTCCGTTGCACTGGGGTTGGGTTGGTACCCTGATGGGCAAGAGAGGTCTAGGGATGAGCAGCAGGCCCTGGGAAAGGGATGGCCAGTCTGGCCTGAGTCCTCCATATTTGATTGTAGAAGGTGCAGGCCCCAGTCCTGCCCACATAAGTGAGCTGGCAGCGATGGAGGCAGAGACCGAAAGGCTGGACCAGGAACCGTGGGAGCCAGGAGGGCAGGAAGAGGAAGAGGACGAGGAAGGAGGGCCCGCCCCTGCCTATCTGAGCCAAGCCACAGAGCTCATCACTCAGGCCCTGCGAGACGAGAAGGCAGGCGCCTACCCTGCGGCTCTGCAGGGCTACCGGGATGGCGTGCACATCCTGCTCCAGGGAGTTCCCAGTGAGTATGGTTAGAGGGTGGGAAGTCAGGCCTGGGGGCCTGGATGGTGCAGTGAAGGGGAGGCAGAGTCAAAACCCAGCAGTTCAGGCATCAGAATTGCTCCTCACTGGCTAGCTGTGTAACCTTGGGCACTTTCTTTTCCTCTTGTGGCCTCAGTTTTCTTATTTGTAAAATGGGGAGAATAGATTTGACTCCCAGGGAGGGGGGTAAAGGCACCTGTTGATGCTCTGTGAACTGGAAGGGGCCAGACCAGGGGTTCTGAAGTTAGGTACCTGGGCCCAGGTACCTCAGCTGAGCCATCCTCTCTCCACAGGTGACCCATCGCCTGCCCGCCGGGAGGGTGTGAAGAAGAAGGCAGCCGAGTACCTGAAGCGGGCAGAGGAAATCCTGCACTTGCACCTGTCCCCAGTCCCGCCCTGAGAGGGAGCACACCCTTCCCCAGGACTCCAGCTCCAGCACTGCCAGCACCCCCTTCGCCTTCCCCTGGTGCCTGGCCCTACCTCCTGGTCTCGTAACTCCAGGGGCCATTTCTGTATGTAACTGGACCAAGAATGAGAAAAATAACGAATTCTCAGCTCACTGACCACACCTGCCACCTTGGCATCAGGGACTCACACTTCTGATCCTGCCTGTCTCTATCTTGATGTGTGAGCAGCAGCTCTGGTCACTAAACTCTGTTTACCCATCTAGAACCGGGGTCTGCAAAGTACGGCCTGTAGCCAAATCTGGCCCACTGCCTTTTTTTGTAAGGCCCATGAGCTAGAATGGTTTTTACATTTTTTAATAGTTGAAAAGAATCAAAAGAATAATATTCCGTGACAGGTGGAAATTACATGAAAGTTAAGTATCTAGAAATAAAATTTTATTGGAACACAACTGGGTTCATCTCTTTAGTATTTATGGCTGCTTTCCTGCCATACCAGCAGAGTTGAATAGGTGCAGAGTGGAGCAGTTGCAACCTGCAAATCCGAAAACATTTGCTATCTGGCTCTTTGGAGAAAAAGTTGGCTGACCCCTGATCTAGAAAATGGGGAGAAAAGTCTCCAAAGGAACGGAGCGGAGAACGGCAGGCCGATTGAACCAGATTACCTACTTTTAGGGAGGCGGTCCCAAAGCCAAACACTGAAGGTTCAGTGGGCGGGAGCCCGGGGAGGCGTGGCTCCGCTTCTGTCCCGCCCCTCCTGCAAAGCCATTGGTTGCGGAAGGGACTACAAACTGGGGCATCATGGGAGTGACCTGGACTGCGCGGCGCATGATGGGGAACTAACCCGGCTTCAGCGCGCCGAGCAGAGCTGGCGGCGCTGAACTACAGCGCGATGCATCTCGGGAGGCCTGCTCGAGGATTAGTGGGAGGTGACACGACGCGGTGAGAGGACGGCGGTGGCCAGATGGGCGGCGGGGACGCTTAGACCCGGGCGGGGAGGAGGGCCCAGTCGGGGTAGGCCCCGCCTCGCCTCCGGCAGCCTCGGCGTGCCTCCGGCAGAATGGGGCGGGCGGCGGCCGCCGTCCCCGGGATGCTGAGCGCCCATCCTGTCCCCGCAGCCCACCCATGCCCGGCTGCGAGCTGCCCGTGGGTACGTGCCCGGACATGTGCCCGGCCGCCGAGCGCGCCCAGCGCGAAAAGGAGCGCCGCCTGCACCGCTTCGAGGTGGCGCCCGGGTGCCTCGGGGACCGGCCCCGCGCCGACCCGCAGCGCGCGGTGAAGGAGTACAGCCGGCCGGCCGCCGGCAAGGCCCGGCCCCCGCCGAACCAGCTGCGGCCGCCGCCCGTGCTGCTGGCCACCGTGCGCTACCTGGCCGGCGAGGTGGCCGAGCGCGCCGACGCGTCCCCCGCCGAGGTGGCCAGCTTCGTGGCGGACCGGCTGCGCGCCGTGCGGCTGGACCTGGCCCTGCAGGGCGCAGGCGACGCCGAGGCGGCGGTGGTGCTGGAGGCGGCGCTGGCCGTGCTGCTGGCCGTGGTGGCGCGGCTTGGACCGGACGCCGCGCGCGGGGCTGCGGACCCGGGGCTGCTGCAGGCCCAGGTGCAGGAGGGCTTCGGGTCGCTGCGGCGCTGCTACGCGCGGGGCGCCGGGCCGCACCCCCGCCAGGCCGCCTTCCAGGGCCTCTTTCTGCTTTATAACCTGGGTGAGTCGGGGTCCGGGCGGCGGGCAGAGCGCGAAGGCGGGGGCCCAGGAAGGAAAGGGAAGCTTTAGCATCTCACCGTTGGCTCGCTCTCCGTCCCTGCCTCCTAAATGTGTGTCGAGTCAATGCACAAGATCCACCAAGCCCCGACGGGGGCCTTCTGGCCTGTCCCTCCCCATCTCTGGGTCTCAGTTTTCTCGTAATAAAAGTGGAGGGGATGGAGTTGGAATGGTGAGTTGTCCTAGAGAGTGATTTTCAAACTTTTTTTGGCAGCCAAGAATACATGTGTCCACAAATATATCTGAGACAGAAATTTCAAGACTTTAGATCCTTTCTTCGGATGGATGGTGCATTCTAATAAGTTCTGTTCTATTTAATTGTAATAAAATGCTGTTGACTTCACAGCCCGCTAATGGGTCAGAAGCCTCAGTTTACAAAAGTGGCCCAAGGTTCCCGTGCCTGTGTTTCTCCTCGAAGGGAAGCAGAGGCAAAATCTGTTCGAAGAAATGGCCTTACCAGCCAGACTGGAGAAGGTGTGGCAGGGCCCGCTCCCTAATCTGTGGGTCCGCTAGGGCAGTGGAGAAAGGGCTTGGCTGGAAGTCAGAAAACTTGGATTTGGGGGCCCGGCCTGGTGGGGCAGCGGTGAAGTTCGCATGCTCTGCTTCAGCGCCCCTGGGTTCACTGGTTTGGATCCCAGGTGTGGACCTACACTCCGCTTATCAAGCCATGCTGTGGCAGGCGCCTCACATATAAAGTAGAGGAAGATGGTCGTGGATGTTTGCTCAGGGCCAAGCTTCCTCAAAAAAAAAAACAACTTGGATTTGATTGGTTCTACTTCATACGAATTCTAGGACAGTCTCAAGCAAGTCGTTAAATTATCTGGGCCTTTTCCCTAATCCCTAAACGCTGCCTCACTTTATTATGAGGATCCAGACTCTTTGAAGGGGCTCTGGAACCTCAGGAAACTCACTCAGATTTGGCTCAGGAAGGGGCTGGCGAGGAAAGGGGGAGGGAAGGTGGGCGTGGCCCGTGGGGGCGTGGTCAGAGCGGGAGGTAGGCGGGACTGAGGGCGGGAGATGAGCCTGGGGGAGGGCCCGAGGAGGTGGGCGTGGCTGAGGACTGGAGCTGGTGGGAGGGAAGATGGGAGGAGGGGCTGGGATGGAAGGTGGGCCTGATCCAGGAAGGATGCATTCTCATTGTGGCTTCCCGCCCTCACAGGCTCGGTGGAGGCCCTTCATGAGGTTCTGCAGCTGCCCGCTGCCCTGCGTTTCTGCCCGGCCCTGCGCACGGCCCTGGCAGTCGACTCAGCCTTCCGGGAAGGCAACGCCGCCCGCCTGTTCCGCCTGCTCCGGACCCTGCCCTACCTGCAGAGCTGCGCCGTGCAGTGCCACGTGGGCCGTGCCCGCCGCGGAGCCCTGGCCCGCCTCGCTCGTGCCCTGAGCACCCCCAAGGGCCAGACCCTGCCCCTGGGCTTCATGATCCACCTCCTGGCCCTGGACGGGCCCGAGGAGGCACGGGAGCTGTGCCAGGCCCACGGGCTGCCCTTGGATGGACAGGAGAGAGTTGTGTTCCTGAGGGGTCGCTACACGGAGGAGGGGCTGCCGCCTGCCGGGACCTGCAAAGTGTTGGTGGGGAGCAAACTCCGAGGGCGCACCCTGGAGGAGGTGGTCATGGCAGAGGAGGAAGATGAGGGTGTGGACAGACCCACGTCCCCAGCATGAGGGGCTGTGCAGTCTCCCAGAGCCAGGACTGGGTCCTAGCACTCGGGTTTCTTTTTTCATGATTCCCACACAATAAAAGGAACTTGTTTTGTAGGGACAACAGCTAGGCTTGATTTATTTGGGGGAGGGGAGGGAGGAGTTAAGACATGCCAGGGGCATGGGGAGAGGAACCCAGACTGGGCAAGGCCCTGTCCACCCTGGGCCTCACTTTCCCTGCTGGTCCCTGAGGGGTGGCCCTGGTGGTCTGAGTTGGCATCTAAGGTTGGCATTATGCATCCCATCCTCGCTCAATCACCAGCAAGAGCAGTTGGTGGTTTTGCCATTTCCCACTGTCCCCTTCTGCCAACCAAGAGCCAGGATGAGGGAGATTTTCATCTGGGGCTTGTCACTCCCTCGTGTCTCCACAACTGGTGGGACCCCTAGCTGCTGCTTCAGAAGCTTGAGAGGGTCCCGTGGTCATGCCCTCTCTGGGCATCAGGAAGACTGGAGTCCCGGAGTTGGAGGTGGGTAGGATAAGGGTAGTGGGGCAGCTGAAGAATGAGGGCTGGGGTCAGAGGTCAGCCACAGGCCTCAGGGTGGCTGCTGCAGCCTCCACGGCCGCCACCACAATGCTGAGCTGCCTCTGCACCTCAGCCCAGGCTGCAGATCCGGGGGCTGTGTTCATGGCTGCAGAGCAGGCATTGGCCAGGCCCGGGAATGTGGCTACGGAGCCCGTGCGGGGTGCCCAGAGCACGTGGCTGACGGGAGAAACGGGGGAGGACCAGGGTCACTCGGGGGCCAGGAAAGAGGAGCTTCAGCCTGGCACAGGCTCAGCTCCTGTATACAGCTAGGCACAAAAGCACCTCCCGACCGCCTCAAAGCTCAGGCTCTTACAGCAGTGGAGATGCAGCTTCTAGTCCCAGGGTGACCTTGACCGATTTGCCTTCCCTCCTTTGAGCCTGGAGTCTCGGGCTGGCATGTGCTCTAAGGGCTAGCGAGACTCTGACCTTTTTCCCCCTCAGGCGGTGCCCAGTGCCCAGCCTCACCCCACACACCTCCCGGGACCGGGATGGGCTCACCTGTAGTAGCGTTCCTCTGGGAAGGCTCGCGAGTTCAGGAAGGACCGTTCCAAGAGCATGAGCTGGTCGTTGAGCATGCGGACCTGCAGGGGGCTGGAGGCGGCAGGACCTGCTGGTCACTCTGGAGCCAGTGGCCCAGCTGCCAGCCTGCAACCTGCCCTGAAACCCACCCTCCCAGACACCTCTTTGCTGCGCCCTTGCTCACTCGGGGGTGCCCTTCTGCAGCTCTGATATCCGTTCGTCCAAGGCCGCGGCTGCCCCCTCGAACTTGTCCACTGCGGCTACCAGAGGCCCTGTGGGGAACGGCCAGCGTCTTAGCCCTGGGGGTGCAGGGCTCCCCGTACCTCAGTGTCGGGGAGCTCCGTACCCAGGCTGATGCTGTGCTGCTCCAACAGGGCCCCGAGGTCTTGCTGGGCGGCCTGCAGGAAGCTGCGGAGGGTCTCGCTGTAGTCACTGACATTGAGAGGCAGGAAGAGGCTGTCACTGAGCCGAAGAAGCACATTCCCCACCACCCGGGACACGGCCTGGTGGCTGCTGAAGCCTGCAGGGAAGGCGACAAGGTCAGGGCTCAGTCTTGAGCCCACCCTCCTCCAGCCTCAGGACGCTCCTTGGTCCCCTCCTCACCAGGGTCCACAAAGTTGTCCACATAGCCAAAGGTGTCGAAGGCTGTGTGGTAGGTGGGATAGATCCGGGCTGAGGTCTTGCTCTAGGGGAACAAGGGCCAGAGGTGACAGGCTTGGGATGGAAAGTGGGAGGAAGTTCAATTATAGTGAGCAATGTAGGGGCATTATCTCGATTAACTCATTGCCACATCCATGAGGAAGGTTCTAGAATTCTCACTTTACAGGAGAGCAAACAGGCTCAGAAAGGTTAAGTAACCTTCCTGACATCACACAGCTAATAAGCGGCAGAGCTCGGTCAAGTATCACTTTCCCAGGTCACATGACGGAGAAAAGACTGGGGCTTTGGAGTCAGAAGAGGATTCAAATCCAGCTCCCCCACCCAGGAGCAGTGTGGCCGTGACTGGGAGAAGGGGCTTTTGGAGCATCAAATGGGAGACACAGGCTGGGCCCCCTGCATCCCTTAACTCACCCTCACACCAATGTGATGTCATCCCTGTTTTATACTGTTATTTATTCCGAGATAAACGGGTCTTCACACTTTAAGATCTCTGGAGTCAGGATGCTTCTTATAGTCAATGTCATCCTACAACTGATTGGCAGTGTTTTTTTCCCTCCTGAGTAGTGCATATCATAACGGTGCAGCTTACAATCAGTATAAGTTTGATAAAATAACGTCGATGAGCGTAAGCAGATGCTCAGAGAGGGTAAGAAACTTGGCCGAGGTAGTACAGCTACGGAGTGATGGAGCCGGATTCAGTCTGCACTAGCGCAGCCCGCAGGAGAGGAGCGGGCTGGTGGAGTGAGGTAACGAGCTAGAGGAAGGAGGGGTGCCTGCTCACCCGGTCATAGGTGTAGGCGAGGTCCATGGAGGAGATGCCCAGGAAGTGAATGAAGGGTGCGTAGTCGCTGCCAGCACCCAGCGTGCCCAGGCTGCAGGAAGGAAGATGGTCGGGCTGGAGGGTGCTAGGCCCGCTCGCCGTCCCGGGGGCCCCTCCTCCGTCCTGGACCTGGGCTCACCTGGGGACCAGGCCGTACACCGGGCTGCTACGGTTGGAATACTGGATCCAGTTGTCGTAGATGCTGAGGCTGCTGCGGCCTGGTGCCGGGATCTGGCCGGGAGGGGCATCTAGTCTCGGGCTGGCCCCTCCCCAGGCCCAACAACCACGCGGGTCCTCGGCCCGGCCCACCCGGGTCTCCAGCTTAGGCACACTCCCGCAGGTCCTACAAACCCCGCCCCAGGCTCGGTCCCACCCAGCCCCGCCCCCCGGACAGCCCCGCCCCTTCCACCTGTTTGGCTGCAGTGAAGACGACGCTCTGGATCGGAGGCGTGCCCTGCGCCCTCAGGGAGACATTGGCTGTGGGAGGATCGGAGAACGACTCTCTTCGGGCTCCAGTTCCTTCGTTTCCCCCCTCCCTCAGTCAGCCCAGCCGCGCCCCATACCAAACACCGAGATGTCCACGTTGATGTAGGCCACCGTGCGCTCCTGCAACTTGCTGAAGAACTCCTGCGGGTGCGAGAGGCGACATCAGCTTGGCGCTGCCCGGTTCTGGGAACCCCTCCCCCCCCACCATCCTTTACCCTGCGGGGCTCACTCACCTCCGTGAATTCTGTGGAGCCGATGAGCCCAAACTCCTCTGCCCCCCAGCTTCCGAAGATGACTGATCTACGGGGACGCCAGGTGCCTGGGGAGCGGGATAAAGGGCTGGAGGGTAGGATCCTCGGGTGGCTCAGGGAAAAGGTTGGGGACGTGGAGAAGAGGGAAGGGCTGGAAGGGGTGAAGCAGCCGGTGACAGGAGGTAGGTCCCGGGACCTCTTCAGCCAAGCCTTCCTGGAGGCTTCATCCTTCTTTACCCAGCCCCCTCCTCTGTGACACCCCCCCAAATTGTCCCCAACACCAACCTCCCTCGGCCAGGTGGTCCCTTCTGCCAGAACGCCCTGCCTCCCTCTTCTTTAGGTATGCTTTGAGAAGACCTCCTGACCCTCCACCCATCTCTCCTCCATGCTGCCTTTGCAAAACTCGCCCATAACCTTCCTTACTTGGTGACAATACATTTCCGTTCTCCTTAGGGCTTTATCCACATTGAGCTAATCCTTACAACAAGGCCTTGAGGGGAGACTATTATTGTCTCCATTTCGCAGCTGAGGAAACCAAGCCACAGAGAAGTTAAATGACTTGCCCAGGGTTACCCAGCTGGTAGGCAGCAGAGCCAGGGTTCAAATGCAGGGTCTGGCTCCAGACTTCAGAGGCTTTAACAATGCCCCACACTGCCTCTCCGAGCCCTCTGCAGCCTGGCTTCCATCTCCAGCCTCTGTGCTCACACTGCTCCCAGAAGCACTGGTGCTCCTTGCTTGCCCCCTCACCTCCTCCAAACTCCCCCTCGCCCTCCATGGCCACATTCTCCTGCTTGTGCTCCCCTCTCTGGCTGCAACTCAGTCCCCTTCGATCCTTCCTCATCTTTTTGTTGTAAATGAAATTTCTTAAAGTAGAAAGTAATTACATGCTTGCACTGACAAATTCCCATACTTTTTCCTGCCAAAAACGCATGACCTGAATCTAATCAGACAAGCCCAAATCGAAGGACATTCAGCAAAATAAAATCAGGATCACGAAAGACAAAGGATGGCTAAGGAATCATGACAGAGGACACGGGCAGCTGCCACACATGTGACGTGTGATCCTGGATTGGCTCTCATTCCAGAAAATTCTTTTGCTCTAAAGGTCATTATAGGAACAATTGGCAAAATTGTTGATTTCCGGATTCTGATCCTGGGACTGTGGTTATGAAAGAAAATTTTTTTAGGGAATATACAATGATGTATTTATGAGTAAAGGGACAGCATCTGGGTGAAGGGTATATGAGGCCTCTTTGGGCTATTTCTGCAACTCTTTTGTAAGTCTGAAATCATTTCAAAATAAAACACTTCAACAACAACAGTGACAAAGACAGTAATTTCTGCACTACAGTCAAAGCCCAGCCTCTCTCCACAAGATTCTCCCCCAACCCTCCTTATCAGCTGGTCTCAAGCACACCTGTGGGGTCACTGACCATTTATGCCACCGGCTCCCCAGTGTCTCTCTTTTCTGACCTGGAGATCAGCACCATCAACTGCCTGCTCGCCTTGTCCCCCGGAGTGACTCCTGGGCACCTCAAAATCAACATGCAAATGGGCACGCGACACATAAAGATGTAATTGGTGACATCAGTAACATAAAGGAGAAAGACAGCTTTATGGGAGGAGAGTTTTTGTGTGCCCTTGAAGTTAGGATGCTACCAATTCAGATTAGGTACTTATAACTTTAGGATGTTGTGTCACGGAAGATGAAAAAGTTCCAGAGATGGATGGTGGCGATGGTGGCATAGCATTGGGAATGTACTTAGTGCCACTGAACTGTACACTTAAAAATGGTTAGAAGGGTACATTTTATGGTATGTATATTTTACCGCAATAAAAAAACTAAAAAAAAAATCAACATGGGAAGAACCAAATTCGTGTTCTTCCCCCTAGATCTGCCCTCTGACTCTGCTTTTTCATAAATGGAACTGCCATGCGCTGGGTTGCTCAGACTCCCTCACCTCTGTCGCTAACAGACCCCAAGGTCTTCCCACTCTCTCCTCCTCACTGCCCTGCCCCCGCCTGGTCCAAGCCCCGCCATCCCTCCTGGCCTGAGGATGACGATACCTCTGACTGGTCCCTCCAAGCAGGGCCTGCCCTGCCCTCTCCCAGTGTAGCAGGGGAAGCCGTTTAGAATTGTACTCCATCATGTCACCGTCTTGATTAAAATCCCTCCCCAGCTTTCCACTCCCCAACTGGGCTGCCAGTGGCCTGGCCCTGCCACCTCTGCCACCTGGCCCAGCCCCTCCTTCCCACATGGCGTCCCCTCTACGGGGAGCTTCCCCCTCCTTCCCCGAACTGCCGCCTCCACAGAGAAGCCGCCCCCGGCCATGGCTTGCCCCTGGGAAGCCCCTTGCGTATTTTCTTCATAGCACCTATCACAATTGTCACTTCATGCAGGAACTCTGGGTGTTCACTGCGGGATCTCCGGTGCTTAGAACTGGCTTAGCACATTGGAGGCACGGGGACATATTTGTTAAGTTACAACTTTGTCGATCCCCGCCTCAGCTGAAGCCCCTGGGGACGAGCCCGGGCACGGCCCTGCTCTCGGCAGCATCCGGGCTTCGGGCCTTGGAGGGCACAGAAGGCTCTCAGAAGCTCCACCACACGGGGCTACTCGGGCGAGGCGAGGGCTGGAGTCCCCGCATGCCCGCCCCCAGGGTCCTCGCTCTGGGCACAAGTGGACACTGGAGGAGGAGAGAGAGGAGCTGGGGCAGGACGCCCACGAGCTCAAGGAAGAGTGGGCTGGAGGTGCTTCCCGGGCGGAGCATCCCTGCAGGAGGGGAGGGAGCGTCCTCACCCTTCTTCAGCAGGGTCCCCAGGGCGCGAGTGACCTCCAGGAGGACAGCAGTGCCGCTGCTGGGGTCCACGGCTCCGTGTACCCAGCTGTCCCGGTGGTTTCCATAGAGCACATAGCGGTCTGGCGGGAGGAGCAGAGTCAGAACCCGGAGAGGAGGGAGGGAGGGGGCGGGTCCAGGCAGGCGGGGCGGCGGGGGGCGTGGTCAGGCGGGCGGGGCGGCGGGGGGCGTGGTCAGGCAGGCGTGGTCCGGTGGGCGGGGCCGAGGGGCGTGGTCAGGCAGGCCCGGCGGAGGGGGCGGGGCCTGAGGGCACACTGAGCCATGAGGGGCGCTCACCAGGCTCCACAGCCCCGCGGATGATCCCCAGGACGTTGGAGGAGTTCCGCAGCTCCAGGCGGTTGTGGACACTCACGTTCACCTGGCTGGAGGAGTGACGGAGGTGACAAATGTCTTGACCCCGCCCACTCCCCCCTCCCGCATGCAGGAGAAACTGAGGCAGAGAGCGGGAGGGGGACATGGCAAGGTCACTTGCCCAGAAGTACCAGGAGAAGCAGCACGGCTAGAGCCCACACTTCTGATTCCAATTCTCCTTTCACTCACTCATTCACTCAGTAAACACTTATTGGATGCTTAGTGTATGCCCGCAGCATCCCAGGCTCTGGGCAATGACTAAGACAGATGTGGCCCGGCCCTCGTGGGCCTCTGTCTCCTGAGTGGGACAGACCACAAGGAAGTGGGCAACTAACTGCAGGAGGCGAAGAGGCCTGGGAGGACACTAACACGTTGACGTGAGAGAGGATACCTAGTGGCAGGTAAGGGGGTTAGTGCAGTTCAGGAATGCAGGAGGGTGGGGAAGGGTGTTCCCGGCGGAAGGAACAGCAGGTGCAGAGGCCCTGATCTGGGAGTGAGCTTGCCGTATTTAAGAGAGGGCATGGCTGGAGAGTGGAGGTCTGAGATGAGATAGGGGGACCCCACAGGGCCTTATGGGGCACGCAGCTGTTTCACTGGCTTCCCTCAAAGACAAGACGGATATTTTGGAGTCAGGGGAGGGGTTGCCCGAGAGGAGAAAGGGAAAGGCCAGGCCTCCAAGTGGGCAGAGGGGACTCAGGGCCAGGGAAGCATAACAAAGGAAGCAGAGAGGAGGGTGGGGAGACAGGGCCCCTCTCACCTGTCTGCTGAGAAGTTGCCATCAGACCGGAAGCCGGGCCCCAACCTGTACTCACAGCCCAGTGCTCCCTGCCAGGTCTCTGGGGCCGAGGCTCCCTGGAGGTTACTGAGGAGGACAGAGAGGCCCTTCAGAGCAAGGACGGGTGTGAAGGGGGAAGCTTGGAGACCAATGGAGGGTGGGCAAGGAGACCCCAGGACCCAAGCTCACCAGAGAAGGACTTTTGCATCCTCGAAGCCAATGGGCTGAGCGGGAATTGGGGGAAATCCGGAGGCATTGGCAGGGTCCAGGCGGAAGGAGGAGGGGTTGGCTGGAAGGTAGGGAGTCAGGGGGTCCCCAAAATACTCCAAGTAGGAGCCTCGCTCCACCCCCGAGGGAGGCAGGCCCCAGGAGTACGGGAAGGTCTGGCTGGGCGAGCTCTGCCCGTCGTTGATGTCACTGGGGTCCGTGTACACCAGCACCCCAGCCACCCCGTGCTTGGCGGCATTCACAGCCTGCAGAGGCAGAGGAGGCTGTGTTTAGGGGAGGGGCAGGGAGGGGGCACGTCCTGCTCCTCTCCCTCCCTCGCTGTGGAAGCCAGGAATGGATCTACCCTCCAGTCTGCAAGATGATGCTTGCCCAAGGCATTGATTGCAATGCTGCTTGAGATAGCACAAGACTATTGGGCATAGGCAAGCCAGTGCTTATCAGTGGAGGCTGATTAAATACGCAGAAGATCCTACAATGGAATACTATGCAGCCGTGTAAAAGAACGAGGTTGGGCTCCTACACTCATGTTCATAGCAGCACTGTTCACAATCGCCACAAGGTGGAAACAAGCCACATGTCCATCGACGGGTGGATGAAAAAGCAAAATGAGGTATATAACATGCAAGAGAATACTATTCAGCCATAAAAAGGAAGGAAATTCTGATATGACATGGATGAACCTTGAAAACATTATGCTAAGTGAAATAAGCCAGACACAAAGGGACAAATATGGTATGATTCCTCTTGTACAAAGTCCCTAGCATAGACAAATTCATAGACACAGAAAGTCTGGGGAGGGGAAAGAGGGGAAAGAGGAAGTCAGTGCTTAACGGGTACGGGGTTTTGTCTGGAATGATGAAAGAGTTCTGGAAATGGCTAGTGGTGATGGTTGCACAATATTTTGAGCGTTCTTTATGCTGCTGCATTGACACTTAAAAATGGTTAAAATGGTAAATTTTGCTACATGTGTTTTACCACAATGAAAACAAAACAGTACATTAAAAAAAAAAAAAAAAAAAAAAAAGACAAAGAAGGGCAGAGTTTAGGTACCGCCTGAGAATGATCTCCAGGAGGTGTTAAGGTGAAGAAAGCGCATCTCAGAACAGTGGGTGTAGTAAGCTACTTTTCTGTAAAAAGATCGGGAAATAAGACTATATATTCATACGTGCTTCTTCCAAAAGAAATTCTGGGGAGACATCCCCTCAACAAACAAAAAGTTGCTACCTCATTGGAGGATGGCCTTACACGAGGACTTTTTCACTTTCTACTTTTTTTTTTTGTTTTTGAGGAAGATTAGCCCTGAGCTAACATCTGCTCCCAATCCTCCTCTTTTGGCTGAGGAAGACTGGCCCTGAGCTAACATCCATGCCCATCTTCCTGTACTTCATATGTGGGACGCCTACCACAGCATGGCTTTTTGCCAAGCAGTGCCATGTCCGCACCCGGGATCCGAACCGGCCAACCCCGGGCCGCAGAAGCGGAATGTGCACACTTAACTACTGCGCCACTGGGCTGGCCCTCTACTTTTTTTTAAAACTGGAAATTCTATAATCTGTATAATTCCACCATGCCTTCTTCTTTCATTTTCTTCTCTTTCTCTCTCTCTCTCTTTTTTTTTTTTTTTTTTTGCAGCTCTTATCATGGGCATTTCTTTAAAAATTGTGATAAAATACACATAACACTAAATTTACTGTCTTAGCCACTTAAGTGTGCGGTTCAGTGGCATTAAATACGTTCATGTTACTGTGCCACCGTCACCACCATCCGTCTCCAGAACTCTTTTTGACTTGCAAATCTGAAGCTCTGTACCCACTAAACACTAACTACCTATTCCTTTCTGTCATTCTATATCTTTTTATTTAAAAAAATTTTTTTTTAAACCATAGATATGTAATACTTAGTCAAAATTTTAAATTGAAAAGAAACAGGTTTGGGAGGAAGGCAAAAGGAGGGATTTAAGTTGAATATTCAGAAGGTTGACTTCACAGGAGGACTAGATTCAGAACATCCAAGCTGAAAATTTTGCCTGATTCTTTTCTTTCCTAAGTCTCAGAGAGGTTAGGGGAGTCATCCAAGGTCACACAGCACATCAGTGGCAACAGCACAAATACAGCTCGCCTCCTACCCGGAGCCCAGGGCTCAGCTCCCCACTCACCACTGCTCCCTCCCCTTCCCCTCACTTCCTCCTGTCCACTCCTGGGCTCCTCTCCCCACCCAGCCCCCTGCCCTGGAGCTGCTGCTCACCTTGGCCCCACGCCCTACACCCCCGTAGCGGGTCAGGGCAATGGTGCCTTCGAGTCTGATGCCCCGATTCTGTAGCTCCTCAAAGTCTTCTTCCGAGCCCTGGTTGGCATAGACAAGGAGGCCCTAGTCCCAAGAAGAAGTGATTTTAGAGCCAGGCCCTGAAAAGGGCGGGGTGGGTTAAGGAGAGGGAAGGCTGGGTGGAAGGATGAAGGATTTAGATTCTGTTCCCCCACCTCACCCAGAACTTGTAAGCGCCCCAAGGACAGAGTCACACCTGGTTTCCTCTGTGTCCAGGTACCCTGTATCAGGCCTGGCCTTGAGCAGAGGCCATTAGTGTTTGTTGAATGACTAAGTGATGGACGAAAGGAGTAGCAGTGGAGTGTGGAGGCGAGTAAATTCTAGGGGAGAATGAGCCTAGTTGACGCACTTTTCCTCAGCTGCCCCTGGGTCAGGATGGGAGAAGCTGAGGTGGGAGCCTGGGGGAGCTGGGCCATGGCAGTGGGGAGAGGGTGTTCCAGGCCCACCTGTGGGGTTCCGGGGGGAGCGTAGGCAGCATAAGGTGGCACCACATCGGGACCCTCCTGCTCCCCAGTCACGTTCTCCTCGCTCCGGCGGCAGGAGAAGAGGATGTTCCCAGTGGGATCCACTGTAGGGCGGGCAGTGTCAGGGCGGGGCCCAGCAGCTCTCCCGCCCCACGGGCCTCCCCAAACCTGAACAGGCGCTCACCGATGGTCACGCTATTGGGCTGCTCCTGGCTGGGGAGGGACAGCAGCACTTCATACTCGAAGGTCTCGGCCGAATCCAGGCCTGACTCTGCGTCCCGCCAGCGCTGCAGCAACAGCTGCACCAGCTCCTCATCGCGGGGGGTGGAGGACAGGTGCGGCTCCCTGGAGAGTTCTCTGTGGGGTGGGCAGAGGGCAGGGTGGCCAAGGTCAGGGAGGGCCCCCTGGCACACAGGAGGGGCGGGGAGACAGGCCTCTCACCGAAGATTCTCCCGGATCCTGCTGGCATCCAGCTGTCCCATGACGGTCTCAAGGATCCCCAGGTCCAGGTCCTGGGAGGCTGAGATGCTGGGGGCTGGTGAGTCGGCCCCTTTGGGGATGGCAAAGTGGCCCAGGATGATCCCCAACCCCAAAAGGGCAGCAGCCCCCACCACCCCCCCAAGCACCTTCACCCCCTGCATCTTGTGGAGTCTTGGCCAGCTGGGGTGGCTCCTTATAGATGGGATGTCGGGTTTAGTTAACCATTACCTCATGGGTGGCCCTGCTCTTTGGCCCCTAGCTGACAGGGACAGTGAGGGAGCATCCTGCAGGGAGGGCCAGGAGCTGTTCACAGCCACCTCAATTTCTGCAACATTCACCTGGAAGGGACCTCCAGGGGCATCAAGTCCCCACAGGGACATGGAGGCCCAGAGAGGGACAAGGTCTCATCCAGAGTCTCCCAGTAAAACAGAGACCAAGCCGGGACTGGAACTCAGAGCCAGCACTGCCTCTGTGTCCTCCGTGTCATTTGATCTCCAGCACATCCCTCCGTGGCTGCAGGAGCAGGTTTTGAATTCAAGTTCCATCCTTGCTAGGCATAAGCTATGTGACCTTGGGCAATTCATTCAGCTTCCTGAACCTGTTTTCTGAGCTGTAAAATTGGGATAATAGAAGCTATTTCACAAAACTGTGGTGCTGTGTTCACTAAATGAGACGACGCCTGTAGAAATATCTAACTCAGTGTCTGGCACATGGTGGGCGCTCAGTAAATTTTCACCTCTCCTGCCTTGTCTGAACCCATAAAATGCTAAGCCTAGAGCTAAAGGAAGAAGGGGAACCCAGAGGAATTCTCTGAATCTACCCTGCAGGGGTCTCAGTTTGTGGGAGGAAGTGGGGCTCTTCGAAAGGGAAGCTGTTCTAGAGGACAGAGAGGGGGAAGCCCATACTTCCTCGGGAGGGTGACTTCCTCCTTCATTCCCTGACCCTGTCTGGAATCCATTCATCTGTTCACCATCCACCCGCTTGTTTATCCACCCACCCACCCCACATCCGCCTACCCTCCCATCCGTCCATCCAGCTATCCACCCAGCTATCCACTCATCCATGCATCTATCCAGCTATCCACTCATCCATGCATCCATTCATGCATCCATTCAGCTATCCACCCCTCTATGCATCTACCCACCCACCCATCCATTTATCCTCCCACTCTTCTATCCACCCATTCACTCCCCATCCCATCTGTTCATCCATGCATCCATTCACTCCTTCATTTACACCTGCAAGCTTCATTCATTCATTCATTCGGCTCTATGCCAGATCCATGCCAGGCCCTGAGGAATAAAGGTGCCCAGGAACTCGAGTCTAGCAGGGGAGACAGGAAGGCTTTGGGTTCAGCCATGTGGTAAGTGCCCCTAGAGCGGGAGGACCAGCGTGTTCACAGGGGGCAGAAGGAGGAGTTCTGTGTAGGAGGGAACATTTGGGGGCATCTTCCAAGGATGAGAAGGCATTTAGCAAGCAGAAAGGCAAGGGGCAGGCCCTCTGTGCAGATGGCCCAGCATGTGCCGAGGCTGAGAGGGAGGGAGACACAGAGTCCTAGTACAAGTGCTAAGCCTCTTCCAGACCTCGCAGAGCCAGGCAGCGCTGGGATGGGCCCTGGGGCTCAGGCTGTGACTCCACCCCCCCCCCATGGCCTATCCTGCCTTGGGGTTCTGCCCAGCAGGGGACAGCCCATTGACTGGACCCAAGATGCCTGAAGAGCCGGGGGAGTGGGGCCATGGTAGACTTGTGAGTGAGTGTGAGCATGTGAGTGTCTGTGTGATTTCAGAGCAGCCACTTCCCACTTACAACCCCATTTTGCTGGCACCACCTGCCGCCCCCCACCGCCCGCACGCCCATCCCCCTGTGCTGGGGCTGAGGAGGTTAGCATGTGGCACAGAGTGGAGGACCAGCGGTGGCTGTAGTGTGACCAGGGACTTCAGGGAGGAGCACCAGGAAGCCAGGGCTCCTGGCAAGTTGATTGTCAGCACCCAGGATGTGACCTTGCGTCTTATCAGAAGGCTTGCAGTGTGGGGAGTGCACACACTCCTTATGAGGACACAGGACGACTGTCCCCACCAGGCTGGAGGTGGAACACCAAGGTCAGCTGATAAGGTAAGGAACAGATGTGGTGATGACACCATGCGGAAGCAGCCCCCTGATCCCACTCCACCCCCTCTTGGAATGGTTTAGCCGCTTGAATATGTAAAGTCACAGACACAACGTCTGGACAAGAGTCTGTAATCTGTGAATGGGCGACTCCCCCTGAGTGTGTGTAACATCCGTGTGTGTGACACCTGAGAACTTGGGCTCAGGCTGTTGGAGTCAGCTGGTGTGTACACTGCTGTAGGCCCCAGGCATCGACTTGATCGATTTTCCTTCCCCAATCTTGGCTGCGTGGGTAGTGTGGCCCCTTCCTGAACCTTTTGGATGTTGGTGAAAAGCACTTAAGGTGGCTAACGCATTTGATGCATATGACATCTTTTATCTTCCCACCTCACTCCCTCCGTCACTCTGACTCCAAGACTTCTTTTTTTTTTTTTGAGAAAGATTAGCCCTGAGCTAACATCTGCCACCAATCCTCCTCTTTTTGCTGAGGAAGCCTGGCCCTGTGCTAACATCCGTGCCCATCTTCCTCCACTTTATATGTGGGACGCCTACCACAGCATGGCTTGCCAAGCGGTGCCATGTCCACACCTGGGATCCGAACCGGCGAACCCTGGGCTGCCAAAGTGGAATGTGCACATTTAACCGCTGCGACACTGGGCCGGCCCCTCCAAGAGTTCTTCAGTGCCCCCCAGAACCTCCAGTCCATGAGTGCTGGCTCCTTTCCACTGCCTCTCACCTCCGGCCTTGCCCAACCTGAGCCCCTTGCGAACTTTCTCAAGGCCCCACCCCCCATCCTCTCTGCTTTGGTCACATTCACAGGGAAGAAACCCCGACCTTCAGCCCACTCTGGATTTGTACCCTTGACTGTGGATGTGCCTGCAGAGTCAAATGACCTCGCTGATCTTGCTTTAAATTTATGATCCCAAACCTCAAGCAGGCCCTCCTTCCTGCTGGCCATCCTTCTATCTTCCCTGGTCTGCTCACTCGCCAGCCCGCCAGTGCTCCTGGATGGCGATTTCACACCTTCTCCTCAAGCCTCCACCGCATTCTCCTCCACCCTCGCTCTCAGCTGGGGACCATGCTTCCTCTTTCCTATGAAAATCAGAGGGAAGTTCACGGCTCACTTGAGCTACCCACCCCCGGCCCACCCACTTGGCCCTCTCGCCTCTCACTGCAGATGAACGGTCCAAGCCCCTCTCAGAGGCCAGCCTCCACCCTGTGCACTGAGCCCATCCTCCTCGCTGTTCAAGGATGTGGCCCCAGCAAGTGCCCCTGCTCCCCTTTTTCTTTATTGGGTCATTTCCATCCACCTAAATCACCATTTATGGTGTTTAGTACTGTCTTTTAAAAAAATCTCTCAATTCCACTTGTTCCTCCAGTAACTGTCCTGTTTTTCCGTCTCCTTTTATGATAAAAGTCCTTACAAGGGTCATCTAAGCTCGTCTCTAATTCCGCTCCTCCCATTCTCTCTTGAGGCCACTCCAGTTCAGGCTTAACCCACCAGTCCGCGAAGGTGCCCTGGAAAAGGTTAACTGTGCTCCACGTTGGGGAACCCAGTGGTCAGTTCCGTCCTCTCTTCTTACTTGGCCTGGTAGCAACGTTGCCCACAACCAGTCAACCTGTCCTCCGTAAGCACTTTGGTCTCATGGTTTCCGGGTCCTCCCACTCGCCCCGTTTCCTCCCACTGTTGTGGCTGCTCCTTTTCAGCCTCTTTTCCTGGGTCCTCTTCACCTCCTGACTTTTTAGCATCCGAGCGGCCAGGGCTCAGGCCTTGGATCACTTCTCGATCTACCCCCATTTCCTGGATGGTCTGGTCCAGGCTCCTGGCTGTAAATCCTGTGGGGGCCAGCCTCCAAGATGGTCCAAAGGATACTGCGGAAATTACAGGGTGTGGCTTCCAAGGTCAGGTCATTAAAGACATCGTGGCTTCTGCCTGGCCCTGCCTTGGGTCACCTGCCAGATGCCACATTGCGAGGCCACTCAAAAAAGTCTGGAGACAGTCCACATGGCAAGAAACCCAGGCCTCCTGCCAGCCATGCGAGTGAGCCACCTTGGAACTGGGTCCTCCAGCCCCAGTCGAGCCTTCAGAAGATGTCGGCCTCGGCTGACATCCTGACTGCAAACTCCTGAGGGATCCCGAGCCAGGCCACCCAAACAAACCACTTTTAGATTCCTAACCCACGGAGATGGTGCGAGATAACAAATGGTAATGGTTTTACGATGCTCAGTTTTGAAGTCATTTGTTACACAGCAATAGAAAGCCCATTCCAATGAGCAAATGTAGATTGAAACCCCACAAAGTTATGTCTCCAATCGGAACCTGTCCCTGAACTCTAGACCTGGATTTCTAGCTGCCTACTTTGCAGCCACACTTGGCAATCCAGAGGCAGCTCGCACTGAACGCGCCCCAATCTTCGTCCTCAAATTTCTTCCTCCTGCAGGCTCCATCCTTCTAGTCGCTGGCCAGAAATCTCGGAGTTACGTTTTTATTCCTCTTTCTCTCACATGCTGCCTCGAGTCTATCAGGAAATCCTGTTGGCTGTGACTTCCAAAGAAATTTGGACTCCATCCTGATTCAAGACTCCGTTGTCTCTCCCTTGGGTGTTAGCCTCGTCCCTGCTCTCTCTGACCCCATCCTTGTCCCTCTAGTCCTTACTCAGCGCGGCAATCAGACAATCTTTGTAAAACACAAGTCAGACCATCGTGACTGTGCCCGCAGCCCCCATGGCTCCTTTTTGACTAGGAGTGACAGCCACTACGGTGGCCGCAGACCCCTTCAGTTCTCTGAGCTCCCCCCTCACCTCCTCCTAGCTCACTGCTCCAGCCCCTCTGGCCTCCAGCTGCCCCTGACTCGTTCCTGACTCGGGGTCTTTTTGTCACTGCTCTGGCTTCCTGGAACGCTGTTCCCTCAGCTCTCCGCAGGGTCCTCCCTCAGGTCCTCCATGTCTTTGCTCTAACGTCACTTCTCCACAAGATCCTCCCTGCCACTGTCTAAACTGGGTTCCTTCCCTCCCTCAGGCTTCCTCTTCCCTCTCCTGCCTCATTTTTCTGCTTTGCCTGTGTCACCATTGACTTATTCATTAGTTCTTGTCTCCCCTCCTAGAACGTAAGTTCTTCCAAGGCAGGGATCTTTGTTTTATTCACTGCTGAATCTCCAGAGCCCAGAACAGTGCCTGGCACAGAGGAGGCGCTCAACAAATCTTTGTAGAATGAATGAAGAGCTGATGTGAACCAGCACGGCTCCACGACACTACGGACTCGTGCTCCAGCTGTCTGGTATTGGAGGAGTGGGCTCGAACGGACCTCCGGAACGGATGCTTCTGAAGGATGATGCCACGGGATGCAGGGTGGTGCCGCCAGGCTTCAGGATTTGGCCACCATCTGAGGCGGGAATAGCAGGAGTGGGGAGTCTGCTGGGAGCACAGGTACCCCAGATTGCTTCCACTGGGCCTCCGAAGCCAGGTCACAGGCGTGGGTAGAGCCACTGGAGGTCCACTGATCGCCGACTCCCACTGAATGCTAACAACTCGCCAAGGCCGCACTAAATCGCCAGTGCTCACAAGAGCCTCTGAGGTGGGCACCGTGACAAACCCTTTGCAGAGGAAGAAGCACGTCCAGTTACTCGGTCAAGTTCACACAAGCTGGCACATGGTGATGCTGAGATTAGGATGCAGACAGTGGGGCTGAAGCTCCTGCAGTCTTATCCACGAAGCCGTACCACCTCTCGGTCACTGGGAAGGAGGGAGACATTCCATTCTGCCCCTCACAAGAGAGATGGGACCATGGAGACACAGGTGGCTGGTCTGCCAACCCAGCCCCTTGATGAC